CGACTACGACAGCCTGATGGATAGTCACGGAAATTAAGCATTAAATAGTGAATAAATCAAGCAACCACCTTCATCCCTCTTGAAAATGCTAAGGATACAATAAATATATGTATAAATAAGAGCCAATGTAAACTTTGTTAAGGTTTAAATAGAGTATCTCGTGCCTCAGGTGCTCATGAAATTATTTTGATGACAAGGACTCGGCCAAATGGACCTGGTGGTCCAACTACTCCTACCAAACGGTATCTACTTTTTTTTTTCTTTTATTAAACTCTTAAGATTTAGCTATTTTCTCTGCCTTTTTAAGGCCAAAAATGCTCTGAAATCAGACGTACGTACTTGTATTTATTTTGCTGTAGTTCTGTCAGCAGTCATGGTCTTCCTTCTTTTCAGAGGTTGATTTTCCAACTGTTTTATCCCATTTTTTGTTCATCAGCGTGCAAGATTGTTCAAAGGGCAAAATTTAAATACCTGTCAGACAGCACATCTACAAGTGCCGAAGGGGGGGTGTTAAAATCCACGCACATGATTAACAGCATAATGGCTTGTATATTATTCAACATGGCTGGCTCTCCCCCTTAATGCCATCTGGCAGCATGTCATGGATCACTTGCACAAGAAAATGCACTTGTTTACATCATTTGATATGATTAGTGTCGCCTATTCCACGGGCCCCTTCCAAGCTACACGAGACACTCAATTACGAATACATGTCAAGGGTTCCTCTCTGGTGTGAATTACATGTAAATATCGCGGTGCACAGACGGTACCCTGACAGTTACAAAAACTCCCAGAGTCTAGTGTGCATGTCCGTTCCCAGAACTCCTCTCTTCACTAATACCCCACATTCCTTTTGGACAGATTACTATTAAGCCGAAATTGAACAGTGACTGACAAAGACGAACGAATTACAAGTCGAATGCAACATCCGGAAGAAAAATGTTAAGGCTTGAAGACAAGTTACCAGTCTGACAAATTCATGTACATACCCTGTCTGTCATTGTTCATGCTTTTAATGTGAAGTATCGTACATCAGGGTGGTTTCACTGTTATTACATTCACTCTAGTGCTGCAGCGTCAGGCATGAAACATCCTGTACGTAGTTGGGTGCTCTTGCTTCCGGAATTGGGGGCCAGAGCGCAAACAATTATAAATGAAAATGTGGACATATCAAAACAGGTTTTTATCTGTGCTTTCAAAACGGCTCCAGCTTCTGACGTTGCCCCCAACCCTCACACTTTATCTTTCTTTAATGAGACGGCCACAACGACACCATTAGAGGTGATCTGCCCAAGGTAGTTAATCATATTTTACAGACCACAGGCATTCCAGTGTTGCGAATTCACGGTTGAATCATTTGTAGAGGTGTGGGTCAGACGTTCACAGTGCAGTCATTAGAATATGATGAATGAAGGTCCAGCAAAGGTGGATGATAAATGAGGATTAAATATACCTGTACTTATCAGGATATTACAAAAAAACTGATTTTTTTGGGGGGGGGGGAATGTTGTTCCTTCACTGTAACTTTCCAGCCGACCCAACTTTGTCCAGCTTTCACTTTAGAGTCATCTTGAGGCTTCAAAACACTGTCCCAAGGGGTGGGGGGCATGGAGGGGTAAACTTAGGGAGTGAACTCCCAGGACCAGCAAAACAATTTGATGTTTATGTACAGGTGGGAATCAAACCAGGAGTGACCAGGTGCTGCTCTGAGACTCCAGCACAGCCGCCGACCGATCCCATCAAAAGGCGTAAGTAGCTTGCCAAGCAAAGCGCATCAGGCACCCGACTGTTGTCGGCTTTGGAGAAGGGGGGAGGCTCAGCTGGCCGAGGTCAGGTTCTGACAGGGGTTGTTGTTGTTGCCACAGGTGGAGCAGGGTTCCATACCCACGGCTACTCCTGCCCCGCTCCGCCCACTGCTCATGTTGGTGACCACCGCCCACTGGTTGGTGTCCGGGTCGTAGCACTCTACGGATGCTAAGAAGTCCTGACCATCGTAGCCACCTGGAAAGTACCACACACGCACAAAAAACAACACCGCAATGAATCAGCATTTTGACACACTTGAAAGGTATTGTTATAAACTAGGGACAGTACAAAAAGCACAAACCTACAGTACTTTTCCCCACTTGATAGATTTCGTACAAATTTAACAAGCAATCCTGAAGTAATGGAGCACATGGGTAACCCTTTCCAAGTTGCACCTGCCCAAGTCAGTAGTCGGAAAATAAACCGAAGTAATTTTTTTTTTTACAAATTCAAATTTACAATTCCGTACCTAATGCGTAGAGTTTGCCGCCTACCACGTCCACACTGAGGGCGCTCCGCCGTGAGTTCATGGAAGACACAAACTCCCACTTGTTCTTCTCCACGTCGTAGCGTTCCACGCTGTTGAGCTGGCTCACGCCGTCGTAGCCGCCCACTGCATAGATGTAGTTACCAACACTGCACACCCCTGCGCAAACACCAAGGAGAAAAAAAAAAGAATATTTGAATACGGTAGTTCAAGTCACTTTTAAGATTGTGTAAGAAGGGATCAACAACTGTGACAGTAACTCAACCTATTGCTCTTGAGAAAAATGCATGGGTTTGCAGCAAGCCAATTGTTAACCCCATGCCAGATATTTTTAAACTTGGCATGCATGTAAAACACTCATTTTCACCAGCTTAAACGTGACGTTTCAGGTCAGTCCAACGTACATGTACGGTTCTGGTTGTTCTCGTTTAAAGGTCATGAGCTCACACATTGGCTTGTGTACGTCCAAGCATGTCAATGGAAAAAGTATGCATTCTTGGCTGAACTCTCTCAGAAAAAAATGGGAGCTGTGCAAAAAGGGGTATGTCAGATTTTCACAAAACTAGTGTCAAAATGACCAGAAAAATCTGAAGGCTCAGCACATATAGAAAATCAGATTCCGCCCCCAAGGGCTCTTTTAGGGCTCTATTAATATGAGCCTAGCACTGTAGCACACCTTCACAATCTACAATAATGTGGTGATAGATATCACTGATAAGATATGATCCGCCTACATGTACAAACGGTAGGCGCCATAAAAGTTTTCCAAAAGACACAAATCAAATGGAAAATCATCAGACCACAAAAGGGACATTCAGGTTATGAGTACCAAAGGGCAGAACAGGAACTTCATACCCAGACCGATCAAGCATACAATGTTATCTGAATTGGACGGCTGTGCAGGCGTGGGTGTGCTGGGATGTAGAGTAATGATGTACAAATATATGTATGCATTGCATGTACATGTAGAGTACAAGTGCATGTACATGCGTGTCTATTTGGGCATGGGCACGTACACAGGTATACATGTCTAACACAAGTAGGGCAAAAAAACCTGAGCAACCGACGGCCAAGAAAAGCAAGGAAACAAAAGGAAGAGTTGGAAGGGGGTTAATGGGTGGTGGTGTTGACTCATCGCCACTTACAGCATGAATCGCATCTTAGGCTCCGTTAGTCACACTCTCTTGGAAGGAATAACCTGCCAACCTCACCACGGTAACGACCCCTCAAACTGTCACTAGTCATTTCCACCCTTGCCACTTACACGTACCCAACTTTCCTCTTCTCCCTTCACCCTTGCGTCCCCCTCTCCTCTCCCCCCTCCCCATATCCCGACATTTTTCATTAGCCAAGATGCTGCTAGTCATGTTGAAGGCACCACAACACTTCTCCTACTGTTGGACTCGATAAAGTCCGCAAGTTTGGATGTACGCGCAATGCCGACAACAAGCCTAATAACAGGTTTGGCGCTGGGTTGTGTTGGGCCTTGCAAACCCCTGCAAGATGTAGCCCATGGCCACTGCTCTCATCTCTCACCTCTAGATGTGAGAACAACAGGACGAAGTTGTCAGCGCAGAAGTACATGTACACATAATTTGATTAATCACCCAAGGTGCCATCTCCGAGGTGGCACCTGTACCTCCCAGCTTGGGCACATCATATACATGTAACTGTTCCCAATCCAGGAAAATACAATGCCCATTATTCTTACAGTATACATGTAATCAGTTGAACAAGATGACTAAAAATACAACATATATGCAGGTTGATAAATTACAACATGCGATCCAAATGACATGCAGCAGACACTTGAAGGAGCCGTGGGAATGTTGAAGGAGCTGTGCCGAGGTTTGTTGAGTAAATTTTTGTTTGTATTTTTTAATCACAATTATTACAAGTTTACTGTTTAATATTTGTTCATCTTTATACTATAATATTAGGATCTTTTCAACTTAATGTTTTCACTCGTTTGAGCCTGGGCCAATTCTGTTGTAACTTGTAAATTGTTATTTACATACAGCAATAAATACAGAAATGAAGAAGTATCAACTAAAAGTAACAATTTTTTTTTTTTTTTTTAAATCCCTTTTTCATACGGTAAAACTTTCCCCTGGAATAATGAAGAAATATGCAAATGAAAAATAACCTTCAACTGCGGCCTTACACGTATTTTTTTGTGGTATGAAGCAAAAGAAAAACTGCATGCACCAATCCAGTGGGTTGTACATGTAGGAAAGTACAGCTAACTTCAAAACAAATTTTAAACCAGTTGTTCCACAAACTCAAAGTTGCTCCCAAACCCTTGGCGATTCGTGTGGCACTTTCTATATGGTGCCGGTGGCCGACCGTTAAATTGTTGAAGAAATTTGACGGGCCCAGACTGGAATTGGAATCGACGGGCTCGGTCTGATGGCCGTACTGTTCATTTCAAGCTAGCCAAAGCTTGAAGTATGCCCAATACAGATCATATCATATGATTCAGCAGGGTGCAGGTTTAACGACACGTGCGACGTCGTCGCAGACTGGGGCAGGAAGTTTTTCAGCATGCTCGGCTTGGCCAGGATAATACAGGCTATTAATCTTGCCAATAGACCCTGCCATGACTTGACAGACATCGCCTTTGCCTACATGCACTTCAGGTGCTGTGCTTGCGTCCAGCATTTTGTGAATCACCCTTTGCTCCCGACAACGCGAACACGTGCACAAAGCGACGGCTATCCCGCGAGTGCAGAATCATCTTGTTTTCCCCGTGTTTTACTGGCACAAGGGGGAATAATAAATTTATCTTTGAGCACTTCTGTCAGGGAAATCCTTAAAATACTCTGAGTAATTGCTCCCACGGAGCTCCGTGATGTCACAGCAAATACACGTACAAGCAACTTTGGGGATCAAGAGTGCTCGTATAGCAGTAAACATGAGCACAAGTTCATACTTCCCACAATGTGACCACTGAGACTCGCATGTTTTTTTGCCAACTGACCTAATTTAAACAGTATTGATGTCACACAAGGGAAGACCATCTGGGGCTTGTCAACATAAGGTAACGAGGGTACTGGAGAACAAGATTCTCCATGACAGTGAATTCAATAGATGACCTAAGTCACTGACAAAGTTGTTAGGCATACTGTACAAATTCCACCAATTGTGGCTCTCTTGGGTATGTTTTCTGCATAGCAATGGGACAACGTGTGCTGCTCAACCTCATTTGACTGAGTATTCACCTGTTTATTCATCTGTGTCAACCTACATTGTCAACAAAGCAATCCGATTATGGTATTAAGAGATGTATTGAGCTAAAGTAAAGCTTCCATTGTGATCCAATATACGCACAGATACCAATGTCATGAAAGCAGACTCATTCTAAATGTGGTAGTAACTTTTTGTTGGACGCATATATGCTATTGCAGGTTTGTTCAATTTTGAGACTTTGGGCTTCCTGATGTTGCAGTCTGTTGAGTCGGTGAACAGACCAATTAATCCACATCCTAAACTACACAACGTACAGGTACACTAACCAGGCAACATTAACCCTAACAGTCCTCAGTCCTCCAACAGGTGAAGGATTGAGGACTGTTAGGGTTAAGTTTGTGTGAACGTTTATACATGTATGTACAGTACATGTACATGTACGTGTCACATGTGAATATTGCAGATTACCCGAGACATAGCCTTCGTCACAAACAAGATTCTCATCATAAACCTTTAAAATTAACTCTGACAGCTATGTAGAGGTGAGCTAACCTTACCTTGGAGGCATTTAATGCAACAAATATTCTAGAATTCTAAAAAATCTTTCACTCTTCAGGGAAGTTGGCCACAAATTCTCTGTCCTTGGAATCTTCAAGGAGCATCATGCCGATACAAGGAGACAGTGGCAGGGCTCAATCTTCTTTAAGTTTATGAAATCCTGGACACCCAAATCCAACAAGGAGTCACAAAACAATCCCCCAACAAACCACGGTTTGTGTGCGGAAAGAACAGAATCATCCAACCTTTGGTGTGGGCAATTTTGACTTTCTCTTTCCCTTTGCACACGGAGATAATGGACTTAACGAAAATCAGCCAACACCTTGGGATCGAAAATGCTGCCTTCCCTAAAAAGTGCGATTTCATAGGGCACACCCACCTGCTCCGCTCCGGCGAGCTTTCATGGGTGCTACGGTGGTCCACTCGTCATTCTCCGGGTGGTAACACTCCACGCTGTCCAGCCGATTATTGCCGTCGTAGCCGCCCACCGCATACAGCAGTCTGTTGACCACCGCGCAACCCACGCCGATGCGCTTTGTGTGCATTGGAGCTATCATCGTCCACTTGTCTTCATCTGGGTTATACCTGCCATACCAAAAGGCCAAAAACGCATTCATGTCCAGACTCTAGAAATGACCCACAGCCAAATTCTGAAACAGGTTGTCAACAATGAACCTCTTCAAATACTACCAGAAGCTTGGAAATGCATTATTAAAAATCGAACAGTAGAAATATCGCTACTTTTTTCCCTTGTGTTTTGTCACACACTGTTGTCGGGCCTGTGTGATTTCATTTTTGGAAAATGGAACGCAGCCCCAATTGCACTGTGAGTATTCACTTTTGCATCAGTGCAGAACGGCATTTGTTTATCACTACAGTATACCACTCAGAATCCGGGGACAGATTAATTTTCTCTTCAAAGCAAAAACTGTCACTTCATCCCAACAAATTAGTTCATTGGTGATTCTTGCAAATGAAAATATGTGGAACAGCGAAAATAATTTCCCTGGATATTTAGAGCCTGCCCAGACTCAATGTGCTTGCAGGTTGTGTGTTCTTCAACGATTTGTGCATTTTGGGGGGAACTTTTTATGGGATTTGCCAATGTTTTAGTGGGCCTTTTCGGAAAACCATCCTTGTTCAGTTAAAATCAGGGACATCAGACCCACACAGAATTCAACCCATCAAAAATGCACAAGGAAGGTGTTAGATTTCAGCTCAAATGGAAGTAAAGTCTCAAAATATGGAAGGCCTGACGTTTCGATCCTAGCAGAATCTTTCTCAAAGGCAAAAACCTTATAGGGTTTGGGTCCATTACGATCTGCAAAATTTGTCATTAGACGTAATTACAAGAAAAAAGGCGTGCAGAAAACAAAAGTTATTAGTTACCTTTCAGCTGAGTTGTGTTTTGTGCAGGCCTCTGACCCACCTACGGCATACAGCAGTCCATCTAGCACTGCTGTGCCTACTCTGTTCCGAGGCACGTTCATTGATGCCAGGGTTTTCCACTGATTTTTCAAGGGGTTGTAGGCATCCAGCCTGTTTGAGTCTGTGTTCACTTCGGTGGTGTTGTTGCGTCCCCCGACGGCGTAGAATATCCCTGCAATAGTGGCAGCACTCAGCCCACTCCGAGGCTCAATCAGATCGGCCAGTTTGTGCCAGGCATCGTCCTCAGGGTTGTAACATTCCATGTTGACCAGGGACTGGCGGAGGTAACCGCCCGCCGTGTAGATGACACAGGCCGAGATGGGGTTTCGTTTTGGAGTCTTGCAGATTTTGTGCAACCGCAGCTCCTGGAAGATCTTGGAAAGGAAGTCCTTGCACCGCGGCTCCCCTTTCAGGATTTCGCACTTGTCCAGCTGCTTCTTGAGGAAGGTGGGCGTCAGGTGCTCGCAGCGGATGCCACCGCACCCCAGGAGTTTCTCAAAGCACGGCCGCCGCTCGGCCTCGCTGTGCTGCACCCAGCGCAGGCACGCGTTGTAGACCTGAGACTCACACCACACGTTCAGCTTGTCGTGCTTGATCAACGCCACCAGCTGCATCAAGGACAGGTTCATGAATTCCTCCGTCTTGGACACCTCGCAGAATTTGCGACAGATGAACTCGCGTGCCACCTGATACAGCGACGTCAGCCCGTGCTGCTGGGCATACACAGATATCCCGATACAGTTGCTTGGGTCCAGCTCCTCTTGGAGAAATGTACAGCAGCACTCAATCACATCCTTGATCTGGTACATGACGGCTTTGGGCAATATGGTCAACACGTTGTGCTCGTTGATGGTGATTTCCGAGGTATACATGAAGTCAATGATGGAGGAGAACACGCAGGGGTGGACGTCCTTCAGCTCAATCTTGCGCTTCGAACATTCATGAAAGCCCCCCGTGAACATGGCCTTGAAGTAAGGGCTACAGGAGGCCAACACAACTTTGTGCACATGGAACTTGACCGTTTCCACCACCAGCGTCACATCGCAAAGGTCCTTCTTCTGTCGCAGCTCGTTCAGCACGGCGAACGCGTTGTTTGCATGGCGATCACTAGTGAAGGTCATGCCCCCTCCACACGTCCGGCGATGGGAGATTTTGCTTTCTGAGGTAGTATCTATGCTTGGCATAATGGGGGATGCCATTTTACACTCACTATAAGAATCCTTTTTGCCACATCCAAATGGTATGCCGCCATCACCTGAACTGGACAGCGGTGTCGATGGGATTCCTACTCATTTCAGATGTTGACCACATTATCAATTCCTTATCAGATAAATTACCTGTAAAGTGTTAAAAAAGAAACAGGAAACACTCGATCATAAAATGGAACAATTCCACAAATTTCAATCGTCAGATATTACAATAAGGTTTCTTAAACACATCAGACTTCCATCAAAGCTAACAATCCGATCTTGATTAGGCACACCTTTAGAAGTCACGATGTGAATAAGTTCAGAAAGAATGATCCTTGGAGACAATTTTCCATCGTCCGATCAAGACACCATTAGGGTGTTTGGCACTGCTACTGGCAACAGCAAAAGTTGACGGCAGCAAAATGAGGCAGAACTTTTACACCATGTCCACTGTTTCCAACAACTTCTTCTTTTAAGGTTAGAAATTATCATCACTCTGCAATTAGTAATGAAGAGAAAGACATACCCAGGCACAGTGGGGTCACTTTCAAATGTGTACAATGTGCACATATGAAGTACTGTGTATAAACACTTGATTACAAGCTACATGGCACGAGCAACCTGCAACCACCAAAGATAAGAGCGATCGATCGAGACACTTTGAGAGCATGCACCTAGCAATTTTTTTTAGATGAGTCATGCTCCGTTCCATCAGCCGTGACCAATAGGCTTGGAACAGCACTTGACCCACTGGGGAAAAAAAAAATGGTTGCAGGCGTTTCTCGGTAGCAGGTCCCACACAAAAGGACTCTCTGCATTGTCATGCCGCTGACAGCTGGCACCGAGAGTGAACTTGAATACGGGGTCATGCGGGGCTGCCATTGGAGGTCAACGATCAAAGGCTGTTACTGCAGATAAACTGTAGGTGGATTCCACTACCGATCAATATTGTGTAATTACTTATCATTACACAGGTGCACTTCCGCCTGTGCAGGTACATCAACACTTTCAATAGGTTGTACGTGTACATGTATGGTACTGTAAGTCAGGATGTTTCAGAAAGAAGGCACTGTGTATATTCTCCAGCAAAGACTCTTGTTCCCACAAGCTGTTTTTCTTTTTTCGATCAAAGAATCCAACATACTGTGCAAGCTGTCAGACAGTGTAAGAATGGCCGAAGAAGATCAAATGAACTGAAAAAGCTACAAGCCAGAGACACATATCGGTATACGTGGACGTCAGATTCCTGTTTGTTTCACTCAAAATCTATGTGACCACTGCAAATGCACCACAGCCCAATGCCAAAAATATAACACCAAAAATGAGATAATGAACTTACATTTACCACAGGATATGAGTTAAGAAAATAACAACCTCAACAACCTTCCCAGCTCAGGTAAAGAAAAACTGCCGTTCACACTAGAGGCGAGAAGAGGATGTCCCATGAATTAGTTAAACAGATCCCCGGAAAGCTCCTGGCTTAGAATCAATCATAATCCAATTGCTCTGGTGAACTTTGCTGGCATGTTAAAAGTAAAGACTTGCCACGAAGACTCTGGTTTGGGTTGTCTGCGCAAAGAACAATTGCTGACTGGCCCTAGCTTTGTGGGGCTAACCTTATAAACCGTCTCACCGTGCAGTGTGCTTGCTTGGCTGGCATCATAAAGGAGCAACACTACAGTCCTTGGTGGCCTGTTTAAGAATAGGGGGCCGCTCGCTGGAGTATATCACGGAAACACGCTATGATCTCCAACAAGTGACTTCAGCACGGTAAATTACCACTGTGACGAGTGGCCTGCTCACCAGGGTTTAGTGCAATCTCACCAGACAGCCCCCCTCCCACAAAAAACGGAGGGGCGCATGAGTGTGCAAGCGCGTGTCCCTCATTCCTTGCCCGGTTGTTGACATGCCCTTAATTGCCCGCTAATCAGCTCAGGAAATCACTGCACCTTGTGAAAGCTGCAATCGGGCTTCCGTTCCTGATTCGCTTGTTTCCCTGTCATCATTACATTGCAAGAACGGGGCTTGATGTGAGGTCATGCGCGCTGCATGTGCCATCAATCAGTAGTTCTTACCAACGCGACTGTCGGCCGGCTGCGGGAGCCCTACGCAGTGCGCCGGCCACAAAGTCCACACACTGCACGGATTATGAAGGCATCCACACATCTCAAAACCACAACAACCACAAGTTCTGACCTACAGACTCTATTCCTCCAAGCTGCCCACTGAAAAGGCCTCCAACACTCTGCTCACTGAAAAGGCCTCCAACACTCTGCCCACTGAAAAGGCCTCCAACACTGCCCACTGAAAAGGCCTTCAACACTCTGCCCAGTGAAAAGGCTTCAAAAACTGTGCCCACTGAAAAGGCCTCCAACACTCTGCCCACTGAAAACGCCTCCAACACTCTGCCCACTGAAAAGGCCTTCAGCATTCTCACAAAGGTTAACAGTTGAAGTTCACCTACATGTACCAGTATCAAAATTAACCCAAAACTCCCTCGGCAATATTTCTGTGTCTTCCAAGTCTTCCAAACTTCATACATGTAACTGCACAGACAGCTGATGACAATCTTTTTTTCAAAGGGTATCAAGCCTAACTAAGTAAAACTGCCTAAGCTACATGTACTACTGTCTCCATGCTTGAAACTTCTGGAACATTCCCACATGTCCAGTAGGGCCGACAAGAGCACAATGCCTGTAATTTGCCAAGATTGACAGTAACAAAAAAGTGTGCCAAAATTGCAAAATCCCATCAACACGAACGCTAAACTGACAGGTGATCCCTGTCCCCAAATGGTTCCTTTCCTACATCAAAAACCATGTCCGATTTGTCATTTGGTTCATGAACTTTTTCTCTGTACATTGTTAAAAAGCTAAAAATGTAAATTGCCTGGTGCCTACATGTCCATACTATGTATATGTACGTGTAAGTGCCCGGATCTTGTACGATACATGTACAAGTCCAGTAGTCTATGCAGGAGCCTCAATAAACATAAGGTATTTAAATCGTGTACAAGGTACGCAGCATACACAATGCTTGACCAGCGCTTCAATGCAAAGTTTATTTCCTGTTAAGGGAAGCTGTTGCCAAAATAGGCTTTTCATTAATTTAAGGATGTCATACTTCTCCCAAAGTCTACATGAACGTGATGTACATGTACATGTGCTATCCCAGAACAAATCAATTTTGCACAGAGCTCCTACCGGTAAACGAAAAAAAATCTGGAATCCCCTTAAGTTCCGGCCCTAAAATAAATGCCCCCAGCATTAATCAATAGAATGAGCAAATTTCCTGCCTCAAATTACGTCGGTATCAAACGTCAGCAAAAATTTTCTCCACAAAGGAGACGAGGTTCACTCGAGAGACAAGCAACTAATTGAGTCATTTTGTGGCATGGGTGGCCGGCTTGTCTTATTAGCCTCGGCATCCAGAGAGCCTAGCACCAACCTAGCCAGCTGATTGTCCCCCTGAGTCACCACTGATTGGCTCAGATTCAGAGCTGACTTTCCAGCAGTCCAAATCATGCCCAAAGAACTCGAGAGTCACTATTAGTCAAACAGTGGAAACGACAGACATTTTCAACGACTTCGTTGTTCGTGGTGAAAACAGAGAAAGTTACACCACAATTAACCCTTACCCTCCTCAATCCTTTACCTGTTGGAGGACAGAGGAGTGTTAGGGTCAATGCTTGGGAGTGTTCAAGTTACACTGACACGATGAGGATTTGTGCTCATTCAATACTCCAGCCAAATCAGTGCTAACCGTAATCTTTAGCGCAACAACACGTATAACCATCGTGGAGGTCCTAAACTTAGCCAACAGTTGTTTCAAGTCGCCACCTAAATACAAATTACACATCGGACATGCATCCAAGACAAGATCAGACACACAGCAAAAAGTTGAAAATAAAGTGACAGGGGCAATTCACAATACAGCACGCCCCCAAGAGATTGCCCATTTTCCAAGTTCATGACCAACAAAAGCATGGTTGCCTTGTCATGATTTGCACCCGGGCAAGTTATACCGGTGAACATGTACCTGAACGTCGGCAGACAACTTGGGAAATTTTTGACAGATTTGGACATTCCATGCAACAGACAGAAGACAGGTAAAATTACAACTGATACCTAACTTGATGTCTTCTTCTCGGACAAACAAACATGTATACTGTCATGTGATTTAAGTTCCTTATACACAGCTGGTGAATAGAATTCATCAACCATTTCCCAGAATGCATTACAAAAATAAAATGGATTTTTCGTGGCAACCCCTTTGTGGCTTACTGCACTGTGAATTGTCTAATGTAAACATGTACATGTATGTATGGAATGCAGAATATATGTACACAGATACTGAAAACTACTGAACAAAACATTAATTTGTATTCCGTTCAGAAAAATGGTCATTGTCAGATGTAGACATACGTGTACCATAAAAGTTGATATATGTTTTTAGGTTGTAGTACATATACATGTATGTGCCCATGCATCCTAGTACAATCAATTTATGTACGGCAGGAGAACTAGAAGTTTGTTGACCTACAGAGAGTGAAATGATAATCTAACCCCAGCAGCGAGTATCATGATGACTTGAGGGGGTCCCAGGCTTCATCCTTTTCCTGACAATATACATGTACATGTACACCATACATTATGCACTGAGCTGGTCAGGATCAAAAGGCTGGATCACCTCCTGAGGGCCCTCTAAACCTCCTTCCATGGCAATCAATTGCCTATTACACTGCCTGCATAACCTTGGCAAGGTTCTTGAGCACATCAATGAATCTGATCTGAAATGACCAACCCGAGGGCCCTCTAAACCTCCTTCCATGGCAATCAGTTGCCTATTACACTGCCTGCATAACCTCGGCACGGTTCTTGAGCACATCAATGAATCTGATCTGAAATGACCAACCACATACATATGTAAAGTGTACCACTACCAGCACACACATACAGGTCCCATGGTGAATGAACAGGGGCTAAACCTGCTGACAATGCACCCTTTGCTTGTATCAATTATCAAGCTCATAGACAATGCACCCTTTGCTTGTATCAATTATCATGCTCATTGACAATGCACCCTTTGCTTGTACATGTACCATGCTCTGTATTCAATGATCAAGGATCTTGAATAAACACAATGCA